TGAGGCCTCTCTCTCTGGCTTGCAGATGGCCACCTTCTTGCTGTGTTCTCACCTCGTCCTCCCTTGGTCTTTGTGTGTCTGTGTCCTAATCTGCTTTTACAAAGACATCAGCCGTGTTGGATTAAGTCCCACCCATATTGGCCTCATTTTCTCTTTAAAAGCTCTGTTTCCAAATACCCACATTCTTTGGGGTTAGGACTTTATAGGATTTTGGAAGGGACACAACTTAGCCTATAATAGCACCTGATTAATCATTCTTGTGAAGTGCTTACTGCCTGTGTTAGGCTTAAATTTGTAAAATATGCAAAACCTAAAGTAATTTTGTGTCGGGCTTTCTATTTGTAGTTAAGGAAGCTCTTCTGATCTACTCTTAAGCCTCAAGATGAGATGAAAGGGCTTCTGATACTTTCTTTTTGGTATTTGAACTATTTCATGAAGGAGCCATGTAGAGTAAATTTGCTTTCTTTTTTTCTGCAGACTTTATTGTAAAAAGTATGAAAGATTGCTAACCATAAACTAATAACTATTGCAGGTAGTTAAAATATGTAATAGTACAGTCTTAGTTTCCTGTCAGTTTCTTAGAGTCAGTTGAGAGGATTTTCCTTTGATGTGCTAAAATAATATTCAGTGATTTTTCTCAAAATAGATGTATGCCTTGTAGGTTTCTTTGGAGAACTCGGTATTTTATTTACACGTGTGAATAAAACATTATGAAAGTTTTTAATATCAACTTCATGGAGATATAATTTGCATACAATAAGTTAATATAAAGATTGTAATTAAAAAAATTTTTGTAATGTTTATTATTTTGAGAAAGAGAGAGAGAGAGAGAGAGAGTGAGCGAGAGGGGAGGGACAGAGAGAGAGGGAGATAGAGAATCCGAAACAAGGTCCAGGCTCTGAGCTGATAGCACGGAGCCTGATGTGGGGCTCGAACTTGCAGACCTTGAGATCATGCCCTGAAGTGAAGCTGGACGCTTAACCCACTGAGCCACCCAGGTGCCCCTAAAGATTGTAATTAGATGTTTTGATGTATGCACCTGTTCAGTCACCACCACAGTTAAGAAGATACAGAACATTTCTGTCATCTTACGGAATAAAATTTTCTGATGTTCCTCTGCTGTCCAGTTCTCACTCTACCCCATGACCCCAGGATACCACTGCTCTGCTTTCAGTCTCTACAGATTAGTTTGCATTTTCCATAATTTTAAATGACTTAAATCATGCTGTTTTGTGTCTGACTTCTTTCACTCAGAGTAATGATTTTGAGAATTCATCCACCTTGTTGCATGTATCAGTAATTAATTTGTTTTCATTGCTGGGTAGTATTCCAGTGGCTGGCCATTAAGTCACATTTAACTGATGAACATTTATATTTTTTCCAGTTTTTTACTATTATGAATAAAGCTGCTGTGAATATTCATGTAAGTCATTATGTGGAAATATGTTTTTATCTTTCTGGGGAGTGGAATGAGTAGGTCATACGATTCTTAAATTTTTAAGAATTGCCTAACTTTTCCAAAGTGGTTTTTTTTTTTTTTTTTTTTTACATCCCCACCAGCAATACATGAGAGTTCTAATTGCTCCAGAGCCTTGACAACATTTGTTATTGTCAGTCTCTTAATTTCAGCCGTTCTAATGGATGTGTAGTGATACCTCATTTAATATGCATTTACCTGATAATTAACGATCTTAAGTATTTTTTCATGGGCTTACTGGCATTCCTGTTCTTTTATGAAATGTCTGTTCACATAATTTCACCCATTCATTTGTTTTTAAAAATATTTTGTTTTTAAATTCTCTCTTCACCCAATGTGGGGTTCAAACTTAAAACCCCAAGAGTGAGAGCTCCACCAGCTGAGCCAGCCAGATGCCCCTTGGCCACCCATTCTTTTTTTTACCTTTTAATTTTTGATTGGCTTAACTTCTATAAAGTTCCCAGTTTTCCTCAATGGTAAACTGTATAGTATAATATCACAGCCAGGATGTTGACACTGTGTTGACACCAGTTCGTGTCCAGATTCCCCAATTTTACTTGTATTTATTTGTGTGTGTGTGTGTGTGTGTGTGTGTGTGTGTGTGTGAAAGAGAGAGAGAGAGAAAGAGAGAGAGAGAGATCTATTCTGTTTTGTGACTTGTGTAGTTGTCATAATAGTAAAGATACATAATGGCTCCGTCACTGCAGGAATCTCTTTTGTTGCCCTTTTATATCCTTCCTTCCCTTTCTTGTTCTTAACCCACAGCAGCCACTAATCTTTCTCCACTTCTCTAATTTTGTTATTTTTTTTAATATGAAATTTATTGTCAAATTGGTTTCCATACAACACCCAGTGCTCATACCAACAGGTGCCCTCCTCATTGCCCATCACCCACTTTCCCCTCCCTCCTATCCCCCATCAACCCTCAGTTTGTTCTCAGTTTTTAAGAGTCTCTTACAGTTTGCCTCCCTCCCTAACTTTTCCCCCCCTTCTCCTCCCCCATGGTCCTCTGTTAAGTTTCTGAGGATCCACATAAGAGTGAAAACATATGGCATCTGTCTTTCTCTGTATGACTTATTTCACGTAGCATAACTATCCCTTGGGTAAATTCCTAGCAGTGCTACTGCTGGGTCATAGGGTAGGTCTATTTTTAATTTTTGGAGGAACCTCCACACTGTTTGCCAGAGTGGCTGCCCCAGTTTGCATTCCCACCAACAGTGCAAGAGGGTTCCCGTTTCTCCACATCCTCTCCAGCATCTATAGTCTCCTGATTTGTTCATTTTGGTCACTCTGACTGGCGTGAGGTGATATCTGAGTGTGGTTTTGATTTGTATTTCCCTGATGAGGAGCGACGTTGAGCATCTTTTCATGTGCCTGTTGGCCATCTTCAAGAGTGTTATATAAATGGAGTCATACAGTATGTAACCTTTTAGAATTAACTTTTCTCACTCAGCATATTTCTGTGGAGATTAATCAGAGTTGTCATGTGTATCAGTAGTTTATTGTTACTGCTGAGTGGTATTCCATGCTATGGATGTACCACGGTTTGTTGAAATAGTCATCCATTGATGGACATCTGTGTTGTTTCCATTTTGGCTGATAGGAATAAAAGCTGCTGTGAATACTTCTGTGCAGGTTAAAAAATTTTTTTAACATTTATTAATTTATGAGAGAGTGTGAGTGGGGGAGGGGCGGAGTGAGAAAGAGAGAGAGAGAGAGAGAGAGAGAGGGAGAGAGAGAGGGAGAGACACAGGATCTGAAGTAGGTTCCAGGCTCTGAGCTGTCAGCACAGAGCTGGAAGCAGGGCTTGAACTCACAGACTGCAAGATCATGACCTGAGCTGAAGTTTAATGCTTAACCAGTTGAGCTACCCAGGTACCCCTTGTGTGCAGGTTTTGTGTATTAATTTCCATTTCCCGGGGATAAATACCCAAGAGTGAAATCACTTGGTTGTATGAGAATTCCAGGGTTCTATAAAACTGCCAAACTGCCTAGTGGCTGTAACCCTTTTAAATTCCCCCCCCACCCCCCCGCCCCAGCAGTATATAAGTGGTCCATTTCCTCTATGACATCGCTATCATTAGGTGTTGTTACTATTCTTTTTATTTTAGATGAGAGCCATTTTGATACATGTGTAGTGATATTTTGCTGTGGTTTTAATTTGCATTTCTCTAATAGCTAATGAAGTTGATTATCTTTAAATGTACTTTTTGGCATTTCTGTGTCTCCTTCAGTGAATTGTTTGTCAACGTCTGTATTAGTTTGCTACAACTGCCATAACAAAATACCACAGACCGAGTGGCTTGATTGACAGAAATTTAATTCTTACTCTTCTAGAGGCTAGAAGTCTACCGTCAGACTATAGGCATGTTTGGTTTCTCCTCAGGGCTCTCTCCTTGGCTTACAGATGTCTGCCTTCTCTCTGTGTCCTCACGTTGTCCTGTCCTACAGTCCAGAAGTCTGACAGACTGCCTTCATTTTGTTCCTTTTCTCCCTTTTAATCCAAGCTGGCAGTGTCTCTGATATATAATCCCATTTCTGTTCCTGGCTTTTGTTATGACATCTGATTATATTCATGAGTGGTACCTGTGATCTCTTAATCAAGTAATTTTCCAGCCACACTTTTGAAAAAAGGTCTGAAAACGCATTCTTAATACTCTACAATATGGATAGGCTGAAAAATTTCCAAATCTTCAAATTCTAGTTCTTTTTGCTTAACAGTTCCTTTAGTTTATCTTTCTCATTTTACTGTAAACATCAAGGAAAAATCATGCTGTGCCTTTAATACTTTACTTAGAAATCTCCTTAGCTAAATATCCAAGTTCATCACTTTCAACTTCCACTTTTCATATGACATTGGAAGAAAATTGAGACAAGGATTACCTTTCATCCAGTTCCCAATAACTGCTCATTTCCATCTGAGATCTCATCATAATCACTTTTAACATCATACTCCTACTAACGTATTTTATTTTGAGAGAGTGAGAGTGAGAGAGACAGAGAGGAGAGAGAGGGAGAGCAGGTGTGTGGGAGGGGCAGAGGAAGAAGGAGAGAGAATTTCAAGCAGGTTCCATGCTCAGTACAGAGCCTGATGCAGGGGCTTGATGTCACAAACTGTGAAATCTTGACCTGAGCCCAAATCAAGAGTCAGACACTTTACCAAGTGAGCCACCCAGGCATCCTGCTCATTATTGTTTCTAATTCTTTTTTTTTTTTTAATTTTTTTTTTCAACGTTTATTTATTTTTGGGACAGAGAGAGACAGAGCAGGAACGGGGGAGGGGCAGAGAGAGAGGGAGACACAGAATCGGAAACAGGCTCCAGGCTCTGAGCCATCAGCCCAGAGCCCGACGCGGGGCTCGAACTCACGGACCGCGAGATCGTGACCTGGCTGAAGTCGGACGCTTAACCGACTGCGCCACCCAGGCGCCCCTATTGTTTCTAATTCTTAAGAAATGATATATTTTAATAGCTTTATAATGTACAAGATTGAAATAGGGATTTTTTTCTTTTCTTTTGTATAGGAATGAAGATCTAAAGCAAATGTTGGAGAGCAACAAAGATTCTGCTAAATTGGATGCTATGAAACGGATTGTTGGGGTAGGTAAAGTAGATCATTTTAATATTGGAAAATGGACACGTAGTGATTATTTTAAGTATGTATTAAATAATATATTAAAACATGCCATTTCCCTTTAATATTTGCTTAGTATAGCCTGTGTAAAATGTTTTGGAAGAAGTTTGGAGTGTCACAATTCAGAAGCTTGAGTTTTAATTCCTTTTTTCTGAGTTCTTATTTCCCTGTCTCTAATATCAAGATATTTCTCCTGAGGTAGGAAAAGCTAATCATTTTGAAGACAAAATAAGATTATGTACAACAATATTTTGACTTCCCACAAAGAGGGATACTAATTAACTAAAGGATTTTTTTTTGTCATTTAAAGGCCTGAAAATTGTAAGCATTTTTTTTTTCTGGTTGTCAAATTCCATTACTATCAATAGCAAAATTATTTTTGAAATTTGATAAGGATAATATGGAATTTATATTTTAACCTTCTTCTTTTCATCCCTCTTTCCTTGTCTTTCAGTAACATTGTATTTATATTTTGTAGTTTTTATTCTAGAAATCTTGTACATTCCTTATTCCTTGTTAGATTAATTTGTGTATTTTTAAATCTTGGTGGCCATTATGAATGGTCCCCTTCATTATATTCTTAATATTAATTATTACTGGTGTATAGGAAAATAAGTGACTTTTCTTTGTTATGCATCTGGTCTTTTCAGTTAACTCTCTTCTTAGCTCTAACTGTTCTTCAGTTTCTAAGTTTGGATTTTCCGGGTAGAAAATTACATTGTTTGGAAGTTATAAGAGATTTATATTTTGTTTTCAAATGTTTTAAACTAATTTTTATATGAAAAAAAAAAAGCCTACTGGGATCTGTATTGGAATTGGATTAACTCTGTAGATCAATTTTGGGAGAATTAACTTTTTTTTTTTTTTTTTTAATTTTTACTTATTTTTGGGAGAGGGAGATAGTGCACAAATGGGAGGGGGGCAGTGAGAGAGGGAGACGCAGAATCTGAAGCAGGCTCCAGGCCTTCATCTGTCAGCACAGAGTCCAATGAGGGTCTCAAACCCATGAACTGCAAGATTATGACCTGAGTCAAAGTCAGACGCTTAACCAACTGAGCCACCCAGGTGCCCCGAAAGAATTAACATTTTTACAGTATTTTGCTGTATGACCCATGATCATGATTCTGTTTCTTCACTTGTTCAGGTCATCTTTAATTTCTTTCAACAACATATTATAGTTTTTATTGTTACATTTTATTTATTTATTTTTTACTTATTTATTTATTTATTTTAATTTACATCCAAATTAGTATATAGTGCAACAGTGATTTCAGGAGTAGATTCCTTAGTGCCCCTTACCCATGTAGCCCATCTCGCCTCCCACAACCCCTCCAGTAACCCGTAGTTTGTTCTCCATATTTATGAGTCTCTTCTGTTTTGTCCCCCTCCCGTTTTTATATTATTTTTGTTTCCCTTCCCTTATGTTCATCTGTTTGTCTCCTAAAGTCTTCATATGAGTGAAGTCATATGATTTTTGTCTTTCTCTGACTAATTTCACTTAGCATAATACCCTGAAGTTCCATTTACATAGTTGCAAATGGCAAGATTTCATTCTTTTTTTTTTTTAATGTTTATTTATTTTTGAAACAGAGAGAGACAGATGGGGGAGGGTCAGAGAGAGAGGGGGACACAGAATCTGAAGCAGGGTCCAGGCTCTGAGCTGTCAGCACAGAGCCTGATGCGGGGCTCGAGCTCACAGACTGCAAGATCATGACCTGAGCTGAAGTCGGACGTTTAACCAACTGAGCCACCCAGGCGCCCCTACATCTTCTTTATCCATTCATCCATCGATGGACATTTGGGCTCTTTCCATACTTTGGCTATTGTTGATAGTTCTGCTGTAAACACGGGGGTGCATGTGTCCCTTAGAAACAGCACACCTGTATGGCTTGGATAAATGCCTCGTAGTGCAATTGCTAGGTCATAGGGTAGTTCTATTTTTAGTTTTTTGAGGAACCTCCATACTGTTTTCCAGAGTGGCTGCACCAGCTTGCATTCCCATAGTGTTACATTTTAAGTTCTATTATTTTGTTAATACTTTTTCTAAATATCTTGTGTTTTTGATGCTATTGAATGATATATTTCAATTTTCAATCAACAATTATTTTTTACTAACTTCCCCTTTTGTTAAGTAACTAATAGTTATTTTACTTTGAATTTTTCCCGCTGAGCTATTATAGCAATCATTTGTTCCCCCTTACCTTTGTCCAGTTTTTAATATTTCTAGGTAGCACTACATTTCTATGTGGAACCTTACTCAAACATTTGAAATATTTTCTGTTCATGTAAGTATGTATCATTTCAAAACATCTTTTGGCTAGAAGTAGTTCACTGGAGCCAGTCAGTTAGACTTTTGTATTGGCTTTAAAGTTTCTTATATTTTCTTAAAGTAATTTTTAAAATTTAAATTTCTCATTATAGTTAATATTCCTTGAGCCCTGAAAATGGGGTTTTGTCACTTTATACAATTGCAGAGTAGTTTTAAGCTCTTTTCATCATAGTTAGAAACATTTCTAAATTTATTCTGCTAAGATTTTAAATGGGTATTTTACCAAGTTTTTTCTCAAATATATCAAAGTGTTAGCAGTGCACATCTGACTGTCTTTCGTACTAGGTAGTCCTATGATTCAGTAGAGAATTTTTTCAGCAATATCTACCAGTGTGAAACCATGATGGTAGTCACAGTTTATTTTATTATCTTTCTTTGGTAATATCTGAGACTTACTTAGTATCATGGGGTAATGTTTCCAGTGTTTATTATGTTGAATAAAGTCTCATGTATGCCAAAGCATTCCTAGGGGGAAAAAACCACCTACTTCAAAATCTTGTGGTCACCTCTCACACAGCGAGACTCAAGTTGAAGAACTCATACATTATTTTTCTTAATATTTCTGGAAAATACCTGTCTTGTGTTTATAGCACATGTCCATGTTTTATGTTGGCTTGGTGAAATGTGGTGAACTAAGGAGACTTTGAAATGTATTGTTTCATATAGTGAATTTAGAAATAAGTTTTTTAGCTAAAATACTGATGAGTTGTCCTTGGAGGAATGGAATATTTGTAATGAAATCTGTGTTGTATTGAATCTTTCATATATTTTCTTTTAGTAAGTGTTAAATGTTGAAGGTTTTTCTCAGATTAGTTTACTTGTCTTTGTAGTTATGGGATAGTGAGCAAATCTGAACCTTTCTTTGATACGATTCTTAAAATGCCAAGGTAAAATTACTGATGTATGTGATCTTCATAGCCATTCATCTTACAGGGTATTTGGTTGGATAGTACTGACCTTAAGAAAAGTAAAAGTAATTTCAAAGTTCCATATGTTTTTGTAAATATTTTTGAAAAGATCTTAAACTAAATACAAGTGGTACATTATTATTGTTGGATAATTGAGAAAATCCATGTAAGAAAAAGAAACTAATAATGTGTTCATGTATGATAAACATTTTTGGTGTAAACTTTTCTAGACATTGTTCATTCCTCTCTTCTTTCCTTTAACAAAAATGTTTCAGTTGTATGTGTGCTTTAAAAGATTCACCTTGTGCATGATGCTGGCATCTTGTTGTTCTTGGGTTGGAAATTGCTTAAAGGGCCAAGATTTTTCTGCCATGTTGATAGACATCAGGACCAGTTCCATAAGCAGGTCTGAGTTTTTACTAGCAATATAATACCTTAGCCTGTTTTTTGTCAATTTTGCTCCACTGTTACTTTATGGAATATAAATCAAGGATCAGTTCATTTTCTATTTCTTCATTTATTCTAGGTTGCTGATTTTTAAGAGCTGGAATTGGGTCTGAGACTCTGTAAGATCTACCTTTCTTGCTTCCTTCCCCACCGTCCTTCCCTCTGTTCTCTCCTTCCTTGTAAATTAACCAGTATTTATAAAATCAGAAATTTTGAACTTTTTAAAATAAACCATCTTTGTTACTGTGAAAAATGAAGCCAGTTACAGTTTAGAAAAACACAATTTCTCCTCTTTTTTTCCCTGAGTTTAAAAAATTAATGTGGATTTTTGGATCTAGATAATTACTCATTATTTATAAAAAAACACGAGCAACATGAAAATCAATCATAATAATACACCACATTAACAGAATGAAGGGGGAAGAACCCACATGATCATCTCAATTGATAGAGAAAAAGAATTTGGCCAAATTTAACACTCATGATAAAGCACTGAACAAACTAGGACTGGAAGGAAACTACCTCAACATGTTAAAGGCCATGTATGAAAAACTCACAGCTAACATCCTAGTCAGCAGTGAAATTCTGAAAGGTTTTCTTCAATAAGGAAAAAGAGGATGCCTGCTTTTGTCTCTTCTGTTCAATATACTTTTGAAAGTTTTAGCCAGAGCAGTTAGGCAAGAAAAAGAAATAAAAGGCACCCAAATTGCAAAGGAAGAACTAAAATTATCTTTATTCACAGACAACGTGATTTCATATATAGAAAACTAAATATTTTATGGAAAAGTTTTAAAACTAATAAACGTATTGAGCAAAGTTGCGATATACAAAATCATTACATAACAGTTACTTGCGTCTGTATACCCTGACAATGAACAATTCAAGAAAGATACTAAGACAATAGTCTTATTTACAGTAGCATTAAAAAGAATACAATACCAGAAATGAACTAAGGGGGCAAAGACTTGTACCTTGAGAGCTGCAAAATGTTGCTGACAGAAATTAGAGAAGACACAAATAAATGGAAGGGTATCCTATGTTCATGGATTAAAAGACTTAATACTTTTAAGATGTCAGTATCAAAGCGATCTACATATTCAGTGTAATTACTATAAAAATTCCAGTGATATTATTTGCAAAAAAAGGAAAATCTATCCTAAAATTCATATAGATCCTGAATAACCAAAATAATCTTGCACAAATTTATAAGTCTCACACTTGCTGGTCTGAAAACTTATTACAAAGCTACAGTAATCAAAACAGCGTGGAACTGTCACAAAGACAGACATATATACCCAACAGAGCATGCAGAAGTAAACCCTTAACTATGTGGTCAAATGATTTTTGACAAGGGTGCAAGACCGTTCAATGGTGAAATTATAGTCTTCAACAAATGGTGCTGGGAAACTAGATACCACCTGCAAGAAAATGAATTTCGACCCCTACCTCATACTATATATAAAATAAGGCAAAATGAATCAAAGACCTAAATGTTAGACGTAAAAATGTAAAACTTATAGAAGAAAACATAGGGCAGAAACTTCATGACATGAGATTTGTCAGAGGTTTCTTAGCTACAAACCAAAAAGTCAGCAACAAAAGAAAAAAATGGATAATTAGGGGATGTATCAAAATTAAAATCTTTGTGCATCATATGATACCACAACATTGTGATGAGACAAGCCTCAGAATGGGAAAAAAATATTTTCAAATATGTAAAAAGCCATCCCCCCAACATATAGGAAGGGGTTCTCCTATATCCACTTATTCCCCAGGTAGAAACTAATAGGTAGTTTTTTTTACTAAAGTATCTTAAGTGAACTACATCATGTAGAAATTTGTTGAAATTTCTATCATATCTGAAATAATCTGGTATCTTTTTTATCGTATCTGAAATACAATACATCCTGGATTGACTCAATAGCAAAATAAGAGAAAAAAGAGCCAGAAGTTGAAGACAGATCACTAGAACTTAGTTGGTTTGAAGAATAGATTAGTAAAAGGAAAAGAACTGAACATAGCCTCAGGGTTTTGTTGGATAATATCAAAAGATCTAACAAATATGTCCAAAAGGAGGAGAGAGATTGGGGCAGTAAAAATATTTGAAGAAATAACGGCTGGAAACTACCCAAATGAATGAATGATGTAAACTTATAGATGAAAAGTTCACTGAATCCCAATTAGGATAAACCCAAAGAAAACCGTGCATAAACACACAGCAATTAAACTGTAGAAGACCAAAAATAAAGAAATAATTTTGACAGTACCTGGAAAAACAATGATATATTACATACAAGGATCAGTGATTTTAATAACATCAGAAACCATGGCAGCCAGAAGTCAGTGGAACATCTTTAAAGTACTGAAAGAAAATAGAGGTGATACTTGAACAACACAGGTTTGAATTTCATGGGTCCACTTATATGTGTTATAGAGTACTGTGCTGTAAATGTATTTTCTCTTCCTTATGATCTTTTTTTCTCATAATTTTCTTAATATTTTCTCTAGTTTATTGTAAGAAGAGTACAGTATATAGTATATGTAACATACAGAATATATGTTAATCAACTGTTTATGTTATCTGAAGGGTTTCCGTTCAAAAGTAGGTTATTAGTAGTTAATTTGTGGGAGGAGTCAAAAGTTCTACATGGATATTCGAAACTGCAGGGGATTGATACCCCTAACCCCTGCATTGTTCAAGGGTCCACTGTATTTGGCAAGCATAAAGGCCTAATTTTATTCTTCTTAAGTTATACATGTCTGAGAGGTTTTAAATAGGTGTAGATATATAGGATAGCATAATATAAAGGCTAGCGGGAGGTGGGATTAAAAGGGCCTGTCTGGTTGTAAGGTTTCTACATTTTATTTGACCTGGTACAATATTAAATCTAAGTAGACTGTGAAAGGTTTGTTGAATCTTAATTTGTCCATCTAATAATCCCTAGAAGAACCACTAAACGTTCTTCAAGAAGATATAAACAAAAAATCAATGTTTAATGTTTAATGTAAACATTAAAATACCAAATACTAACAAGTTCCCAAATAATGGGAATGACAGAGGTCAGTCAAACAAAACACACACAGTAAACAGAAAACAGATAATAAAATTGGAGACGTGGGGGCACCTGGGTGGCTCAGTTGGTTGAGTGTCTGACTTCGGCTCAGGTCATCATCTCACAGTTTGTGCGTTTGAGCCCTGCATCGAGCCCTGTGCTGTTAGCACGGAGCCCGCTTTGGCTCCTCTGCCCCCCTCTCTCTTTGCCCCTCCCCTACTTGGTGTGTCTCTTTCAAAATATATAAATAAACTTAAGAAAAAATTGTAGACCTGAATCTAACGACACCAGTAATTTTATTAAATATGAGTGATCTTAAGTCACCAACTAAAAGAGATTGTCAGATTGGTTGAAAATGTTAAGATGCAACTGTATGTTCTATAGGAGAAACCCATTTTTAATATAAATACATAGATTAAAAATACAAGGATGGGAAATACATACTATGAAAACACTAAACAAAACATAAAAGAGCAGCTACCACTGCCACCCTGGCACTTTCCATTTCTCATACAGTCCTTTATTTTTTTCCATAGTACTCTATTTTACCATCTCACACATTGTATTTATTTGTTTATTGTTCCTAGCCCGCATTAGAAGGTAAGCTCCACTGGGCAAGGTGTATCCCCAAGGCCTACAGTACTTCTTGGCATGTAGTGTCCTTTCAGCAAACATTTGTTGAATGAACTTGACTGTAGGGTTTTTTTCTTCCCTCATGTATTAACATCCTTTTGAATAACCTCCTGTAGAACAGTTAGGGAATCCTTGGAATAGGATATAATAGGACAGGATCTTCAACTTCAGGTATTCATTGGATAACTGAAGGCATGGGCCCAAAAACATTTGTTCCCTCTCTCCTCATTTTACAGGTGAGGAAACTGAGGGAGGTGTAAAAATCATAATAAAGATGTTTTAGCTGCATTATTTGTGAACCTTCTGTAATGTGCAGTAGGTTTCACAGAATATTCAAATCATAATGTGACAGGTAAGGAAACAGAATATGAAAGGATTAGCATATATTGGAGTGTTTTTAAGCTGTTATGTAGAAAGATCTTATTGAAAAATTGCTAATTGGGATTTGAATGCTTAAAATATCACATAGTGTATAATAAAACTTTTGTCATGATTTTATAAAACTAATACCTTCCATCTTTTTTAAGATAGTTTTTAGATATGGTGTATAATTCATGAAGAATCCCTTTCCAGAAAATGATCCTGTTGTTAAACTTTATTTTGTATCTACCAAAGTGTAGACTATTAAACGACATAAAGATATATTCCGAGAATGAGAGTGAAGGAAATGGGGATACAGGTAGACATAAAACTACAGTAAATAGAAATAAAACAGCACAAATGAAGAGTGTGAGTTTAAAAATTTTAGAGGAAATTAGAATTGGACAACAATGTGGGCCAGGTATTTTTGGGTGGCTCTAGGGAGGGAGAATGATTAGAATTTTAGAGAATTGTGAAAAGTAAAAAGAATTGACTTGGGGGTGTGATAAGGCATAGAGTAGCCAGAGAATGTTCTGGTAGTGAGAGGGTCAGTTTACTTTGATAATAGTGTTGGTGTAGAACAGTAATTGTTGCTGTGCTCAAGAGGGATGTTGTAAATTGTGAGGGCATTTAATATTAAGTGAAATAGTTTGGACTTTTAGGCAGCCAAGGGCTTTTGAAATCTTTGAGAGGGGCTGACATGTACACAGTAGTGTTTTAAGCATGTGAAACTGTCAGTGTGGTACATTATGAACAGGAGCAGGAGACTGTTGGAAAAGACCTTTGTGCGATGATATTGACCTATTTTAGGATAGTAACAGTGAGAAAGGATTAATGTGATAGTACAAAGAGATCACAACAGGACCTAGTTACTCTGTACATGTGGGAAGAGACCAGAATAAATCTGTGGTTTCTGGTATCTGGGAAAATTGGTGGAAATAGGAAGTTCTAGCATGAATGCTATTTTATCATGAAAAATGAGTTTGGTTTTAGCAAGTTTGAGATGAGGGAGACATCTAATGATGTCCAGTTACAGAAGTGTAACTAGGACCCAGAGTTAGGGCTAGAGTTTGGGGAATTGATCCCTATAGTGTGAGAGTTAAGTCATGAGGGTGAATGAAATGTTACGAGTTTCAGAGATTGTAGAATAGTGTAGCCTGAAAAGATGGTGATATACAGAACTTAGCGGGCAGAGGAGAGGACTTGGTGAAGAGAACTTTGAAATGTAATGGTTGGAGATAGGGAAACCTATGAAATGAAAGCCAAGGGGGAAATAGTTTGTCCAAAATAACGTTTATTCCCTGCCACCCCCATTGCCAATGTATAACTTTAATATAAGAGCTTGGAAAATAAAGAACAGTACAAATATTTTTAAAGTATTTACAGCCTCATTAGCCAGAGAAAACTATTGTAAATGTTTTATTGTATGTCTTGAACTACTATATATTTCTTCTTTAATGTGTCTGTGTATTTGTATATTTATATTGATACTCAAGACTTTATTTGTTCTTTGATACAGATAATTGGGATAAGTAAAATGATTCAAAAAGACTTCAGCTTGTGAATTCCATAGCTTATTTGCTGATTCAATTTTCTAAATATTTAATGTATGTAGAATTTATGTTTTATTTTCAAATGACTATAAAAGATTTCAACTCTAATACTCCACTTTTATTCTTCAGATGATTGCAAAAGGGAAAAATGCATCTGAACTGTTTCCTGCTGTTGTGAAGAATGTGGCCAGTAAAAATATTGAGGTATTGTTTTGATTCATAATTTTCATAATTCTTTCTGTTGTAAAAGAATCATATACTTTTTGTTACTTTGAAATGTGACATAAGATCCTTAAGTATCACTAGATTTCTTTTGCTCTAAGTAAAATGTTCATAGTCTTAAATAGAATAAACAGTATTTGGATTTTTGGATGGGGAATGTGAAAAATAAATTGAAATTAATTCACCTGGTTGAATGATGGTAACTTGTATATTCGTAGAAGCCAGTTGAGTTGGTGTTCTGCTCTCGGGACTTAATATTAGGATAGCACATATCCAGGGGCACCTGGGTTAGCGTCCAACTCTTGGTTTTGACTCAGGTCATGATCTCATGGTTAGTGAGTTTGAGCCTTGTGTCAGACACCATGCTGACAGTGCAGAACCTGCTTGGGATTCTCCTCCCGTCTCTCTTTGTTCCTACCCCACTCATGCTCTCTCTCAAAATAAATAAATAAACTTAAAAAAAAAAAGGTAGCACATGTCCATTGAAATAGACCTAAGTTCATTCAGTAGTAGGATAGTGTTTGAACCCAAGTATTATCACTCCAAATCTAGGGCTCTTTTTGAAACATGGTATACCCTGCCTCTGTACAGTAGGAGGTGAGCAGAAGGCAGGATGTAGTGTGAGCCTTTGAGTGCTTGTCTCTGTGTAGGTTTACACGTGGTGTTTGAATCAGGAATTCAAAGCACTTTGAGGCAAAGGTAATGTTGGGTCAAATGGACTCGTGACTTTTGATAGAGTGCAAAAGAAAAATATGAGCCAATGTAGAAGCCATTGAGTAAGATGAGTAGGATGAAGAGTTCAGTGAAGGGGATGAGAGATTGATCTGAGCAAACGGCTTGTATTTCAAAACAGTAGAAGGTAGGAATGAAGAGAATTAATGACCACATCTCTCATGGATTTCGCTGTCAACTGATGTAGGTAGTGATTGGAGGATCATGTTTACTCAGTAGGAAGTAGTGATATATACATGAGAATGAAAATGCCAGCACACATGCTTCTTCTTTGCCTGTTGCCAACAGTTTGAGGAATATGCTTAATTCTCTTTTTGAGTCTGGAAAGTTTGGTAGGAGTAGCAGTCTTCACTGAAAAATATTTTCAAGGACTAAGTGTCATCAGAGCAGATGTTTTAGGTAGAGATAGGTAGATTATAAGAAATAGAAATTAAGGATATAAGGGACTTTTTCACTTTTAATCAACATTATAACCTTTCATGTATACTTTGAAAACCTTATGACAGTAAATTTCCATTTTCTCCTTCCTACCTTTTCCTAAGTTATCATACATTTTACTTCTAAATAATGCTAAAATCGCCGAAAAATATATGGTTATTATTTTTGCTTTTTAAAAGTCATTTTTCTTTGAAATATAGTTAACATGCCATAAACTTTTCAAGTGGGCCATTCAGTGATTTACCAGATTGTACAACCATCACTGCCATTTCCTTCTTCTGTATTTTTATCGCCTCAAAAAGTAATCCTGCTTTCATCTGCAGTCACTCCTTGTGCCCCCAGCCCTAGGCAACTATGAATCTACTTTCTATCTCTATGGATTTGCCTCTTTTGGGCATTTCATATAAATGAAGTTGTACGGGGTGTGACTTTTGTATCTGGCTTCTTTCACTTAGCATAATGTTTTCGAAGTCCACCCATGTTGTAGTGTACATCAATACCTCATTTCTCTTTATTGCTGAATAATACTCCGTTGTACGGACATACTGAATTTTGTGTATTCATTCACCAGTGACATTTCGGTTGTTTCCACTTCTTAGCTATCATGAATAGTACTGAACACTTTGTACAAGTTTGTGTGTGTACCTATGTGTTCACTTCTCTCGTATGTGTACCTTGGAGTGATATTTCTGGTTACTGTGATATGGTTACTGTATGGTTTTTTGAGGACTTGCCAAACTCTTTTGCACAGCGCTGCATCATTTTACATTTCCATCAATACTGTATGTGAGTTATAATTTCTCCACATCCTCACCAATACTAATTTTTCTTTTTTGAAAAAAAATTACTGTCTTTTAGATTAGAGTTATCCTAAAGGGTATGAAGTGGAATCTCATTACTGCTTTTTGCAATTTGGATTCACATTTCTCTAATAAAAAACTGTTGATTGTCTCTTGGCCAGTTCTGCATCTTCTTTGAAAAAATGTCTGTTCAGATCTTTTTACCGTTTTATAATTGGGTTTTCTTTCTGTTGTTTATTGTTAGAGTTCTTTATATATTTTGAATACTAGATTCTTATCTGTTGTCAAATTTGCAAATATTTTCTCCCATTCTGTGGATTATCTTTTCATCTTCTTGATTGTGTCCTTTGAAGCACAGACATTGTAAATTTTCATGAATTCCACTTCTATTTTTTCTTTGTTTCCTTATGCCTTGGGTGTCATATCTAAGAAATGGATGCTTAATCCAAGGTCATGAAGATTTATATTTGTCTTTTTTCCTAACAGTTTGTAGATTTAACTTTTATATATAGGGCTGTGATCCATTTTGAGTCTCCATGCAATCACTGATCTGCTTTTGGTTACGAGTTTTGTCATTTTTAGAATTTCTTATAAATTAAACCGTACAGTATGATGTCTCTTGAGTTTTAGTCCTTATTTTTTAAATGTTTCTTTCATTCATTCATTCATTCATTCATTCATTCATTCATATTTGAGAGAGAGAGAGAGGGAGGGAAGGGCAGAGGGAGAATCAGAATCTGAAGCAGGCTTCAGGCTCTCAGCTGTCAGCAGAGAACCTGGTGCAGGGCTTGAACCCGAACCTCGAGATCCTGACCTGAGCTGAAGTTGGATGCTTAATCGACGGAGCCACCCAGGTGCCCTGAATTTGACTCCTTTTACCTTCAAATCTGAGATTCATCTGTACTATTTCATGTATTCCCATTTTGTTCCTTTTTTGCTGCAATCTGATATTTTTTCAATTTTCACATTTACCTTTTGAAATACACCTGAATAAAATGCTGTATGTGGTCATGTAAAAATTAATTTTTAATTTTTCTTGTATTTTAATTTTCTTTAACTTTTTCTTTTCTAATTACCTAGGGATAGATAATTTGCATTGTCTGGGAAATGTATATTTAATTTTTTTTTAAGTTTATTAATTTATTTTGAGAGGGAGAAAGTGCAAGAGCAAGCAGGGGAGCGGTACCCAGAGAGGGAGAGAGAGGATCCCAAGCAGGCCCTGTGTTGCTGGAACCCACGAACCGTGACATCATAACCTGAGCCAAAATCAAGAGCCAGATGTTCAACCAACTGAACCACCCAGACGCCCCTGTATAGTTTTTAGGAAATAGTGTCATAGAGTTTTCCAAAGTGGCTGTATCATTTGCATTCCCACCAGCAATTGTATGGGAGTTCCAGTTGGTTCACATCCCTTCCAACACTTGACCTTATTAGACTCTAACATTAGCCAGTTTGGTAGCTGTATAATGGTATTTCATTGTGCATGTATTTGCATTTTCTTTTTTTTTTTTTCCTTTAAATGTTCATTTATTTTTGAGAGGGGGGCTGGGGGAGAGGGAAACAGAGGATCTAAAGCGGGTTCTTTGCTGACAATGCCCGATGTGGGTCTTGAACTCAACGGTGAGTTTATGACCTGATCTGAAGTCAGACACTTAACTGACTGAGCCACCCAGGCACCCCTACATTTTCCTATATTTAGTGCCGTTGAACATTTTTCATGATTTGTTGGTTAGTCATATCTCTTCTAAAATGTCTGTTCATATCTTTTTTGTTTTATAATTAAAGCGTAAGAATTCTGGTTCTAGTCTTCTCTCAGATAGATGGTTATTTATTATTATTTATTTTCTCTTGGTCTGTGGCTTGCCTTTTTGTTTTCTTACTATCTTTTAAAAAACAAACATTTGATTTTGATAAAGTCCATTTTATCTGTTTTTTTCTCAGTTGTACTTCATGGTTTTTGGTGACCTTTTTAAGAGATCTTTGTCTAACCTAATGTCAAAGATTTTTCCTGGTGTGTTCTAAAAGTTTAATAGTTGTAGCTATTATATTTAGGTCAATGATTCATGTTTGGATCCAGTGTCCATAGGTGTGTGATCCATAGGTTCGATGATTCACTGGGAGGACTCATAGGACTTAGGATATAGTCATACTCATAGCTATGATTTATTACAATGAAAGGTACATAATAAAATCAGTCCCTGAAAGAGGTGCTTGTGGTAAAGTCAAGAGGAAACCAGATGCAAGCTTCCAAGTATCTTTCTCCAGTGATTTTCCCAGTGATAATCAATTCCTCCAGCATCAATTGTGACAAAAAGTGTGAGGTGTTGTCCACTAGGAGAGCTCATTAGTGATTCAGTGCCCAAGTCTTTTACTGGGGGGCTGTTCATGGAGGCATTAACTGCCTAGCATGTACCAAAATTCCAAACTCCCTTAAAAAAAAGCAAATGTTGAGCATAAACCATATTGTTTGTAAACCACCCTTATCAGGGAATTGTGGGAATACCCCTAAAATTCAAGTTCCCGGATCCCAGTCAGTGCCAACTTTGAAAGCAGACTTTCTAAGGATAGCATTCTTTGGCCTGCTTTATTAACTTTTTCTTGCACAGCACATTTTAATTAGACTTTGTGTGTGATGTGAGGTAAGTAAGGTTCAAGATTTATTTATTGATTTTTCTGGGTATTCATTTGTTCTGGTATCACTTTTTAAGAAGACTCTGTCTTTTCCCCCTTGAATTTCCTTGCTACTTCTGTGAAAAATTCTTGATCATGTAAGTGCAAGTATGTTTCTGGACTCTTTTCTTTTCCGTTGATCTATTTGCCATACCACACTGCCTTGTTTACTGGATAGTCACGTTGTAAGTCTTGAAGTCAGGTAGTGTAAGCACTCCAGCCTGGTTTTGTTTTTTTAACCTTTTTTTGGCTAGTCTGGGTCTTTTGTCTTTTTATGGAAGTGTTAAAATTAGCGTGTCAGTTTCCTCAAAAGCCTGTTAGGACTGATTTTGTTTGCATTGA